GTCATTAGCACCTCTAGTAATATATTTACTGAAAAAAATGTTGACATGTTCAATACTTATTTTACCTGCTGTATATTTTCAGAAGTGTGATAAAACATGTTTTTTTTTCATCCAATCAACTGTCAGAAACAGCAGCTTCTCACCTGGCCAGGTGCAGCACGGCCTCCAGGATGTTGGATCCGTCTTTGGCGCTGGTTTCACAGAACAGAGTGCTGTACGTCTGATGGGTGCAATCATCAAAAGGATGAGCAGTTAAACAACTGGACTTTGCTCTGAGTAACAGGACATTTACATACACAGGCAATAAAATGTCCTCACAAGTAATAAATAAAAAAAATTAATATACCATGGCCAGTTTTTCTCCATAGCTGGTAGGAACACAATCCACTCCATCTTCTCTAAGATCACACTTATTGCCCACAAGCATGATGGGAATATTATCCCGGGACACATCCTGCCAAACACAGGGAAATAAATTCAGTGTTTAATATTCAACACAGATGTGACTGTATCATTAAATGTGCAGCACTCACACACATCTAACAAACAAGGAACAAAAAGCCAACCACACGTGCACAAATAAAAAGTTACAGGACAACCAGAGCATGCTTTACATCAAACACTTACCTGTTTTCTGCAGGCCAAGGAGAAAAACACAAACACTTAGTTTGACTTTTCTTTTTTTATTTATTTAACAGGATTAGACTCATTTACAGTAACTCAGTTTACTTTTCTTTCAAATATTTTGTTCAAACAACAAAACCAGAGCAGAGTTTTACCTCAATCATGTCCACCCATTCTCTAATGTTCAGGAAGCTTTTCTCACAGGTGACGTCGTACAAGAGCAGCACGCCGTCCGCACGTCGGAAATAAGACTTGGCAATACTCCGAAACCTGAGAAGATGAGAGAAGAGAAGAGAAGAGAAGAGAAGAGAAGAGAAGAGAAGAGAAGAGAAGAGAAGAGAAGAGAAGAGAAGAGAAGAGAAGAGAAGAGAAGAGA